ATAAGAATTTGGAATATCATAAAATTCACATCCACTATAATAATGGAAACAGTCAATATATCTCCAATACTGAAAGTTATCACATGAAGGAACTCCTGAAAAATGACTGAACATTTTTGTTTTCTGTAATCTTTTCACAAAGTATTTTTCTATCAATGGGGAATATAAGACAATCTAAAGTTGAATTACCCAGAGAAACCTTTGAGAAAATCAGTAAATACGAGACAAAACCTCACTGGTAAAGAACAGTCTGAACTCATACCTTATTAGAAAGCAGAGGGAGAAGAATATGTGCAAGAAGAAGGTAGGGGGAGGCCAAATTACCAGAGACTCTATAAATAAAAACTAAATTAATGGTATTTTATCATCCTGGGCATTTAGCCAAAAAGAGGTAATTGGCCTTTGTAAAAAGTAAGAAGTACTTTCTCAAAAGAAAAGGAAAATAATCATGACTAAATGATCTTAAATACCAAATTCTGATAGTGTTACATTCTGAAATTCTAAGAAGTCACAAAGAAAATATTGCAAAAAGCCAATATAGCTCAAAGCTTACACACACACACACACACACACACACACACACACACACACACGTGCATGCACACACACATATTCTTGAATTTCAGAAACTTTTCTGTGTTTCACTGTCTGAAATGGCAGCTATTTGGAAGAGAGATCATTAGATATACTTTCTCCCACTGACATCAAGTTTGGTCATGTGACTCTGATATCTCTCATTGGTAGTTCCTACTTTGTCATCACCTACTTAAGCCTTGTGGCAAATGTCATGGTAAATGAAATATGAGCAGGAACATTATATACTACTTCAGAACAGACACATCCACAGGCTCTCATCTCCTGTTTTATCAGTGCTCTTTGCTCTCTACTAGGAACCCCACAAGCAAGGCAGAACCCACATGGTCAGTATAAAGCCAAAGGGAAGAGGACTGAGCAGCAGGAAAGTACTATAAGCATAGCAGACTGTTGCAAGGTAGGGGGACTTCTTGGTCTTGTGTTGATGCAGCATACTTGAACCTACCCTCACTGAACCTAAGCTGACTGATGAATAGGCAGCGGCAATACCTCATGAAATACTCATGACATTTACAGTACGCCAGTGGCAATCAAAGAATGGGGCTGACCAAACAGAGATATGGAAGGCTGATAGAGAAGAACTCAGTATTAGAACTACAAACAAGGAAGGAAAAATCTTGAGTCTGTTTAACATTGAAGAGTGACAAGAGAAATTATAAGCTTTTGAAGCCATATTATCTTACAGTTTAAAATAGTCTATAGAGCATAATATAGCTGTACTTCAGTACCAGTCAGTAGTAACCCAGAATGAAACCATCTTCTGTGTGAAACTGACAGTTTCACTTTAATTCCTGCAGTGAGAATGTTCTGAATGAATCACTGCAATGGCATCACGCTGTATGGCCATCACAGCCTTTTCCATGTGATCCATTCTCAGGTACAAGTGAGAGTTTTTTATAGGTGGATTCAAATAAACTATTCTGGGACTATTAAGTTTGTAAACAGAATTCCCATTTAATTAAACATAGCTTTACACTTTATAAAAAAAAAGGCAGGAAAAAAAATCACATGTTCAATCTTTGTTAAGACATAAACTAAATAAAAAGTGATTTAGGAAGCTCACACGCCCTGCAAACAAGCTGGTCTAAGACTTTCTGTTTTAGGAACATCAGTTCTGATCTTCATGCTGGAAACTCAAGAGTAGCCACACTAGAAAACTAGGCTGTTCTTCCCTGAGCAGAAACAGAAAAGCAGAGCAGACAACTGCTAGGAAACAGGTACCAAACTATGTCACAAATTTAGATTGCAAACAGATGAAAAAGTTATAGCAAATGATCTCTAAATGATGGAAAAATGAGAGGCAAATGTGAATCAGCCTTCCTGTGTCTGTTGACAATGAATTAAAAGAACTAGCAACCACCATTTAAAATGCTTTTCTGCCTCATGAGTACAGTAATTTTCATTCATAAAATATAGTCATTTAAAGTTTGATGAAAATTATTTTACAGAACAAAAGGATTAGCAAAATTTTTCAGAAGAACCTCAAGTTATCCAAACAAATCAGTGAGGAAGCTTGATTAAATATTTTCAAAAACAGAAGTTGCTTACTTCTCTCAAAATTAATTCCTAAAGGAATATTCAAATAGACTATTCTGGGACTATTCTAATGTAACTTTAAAGAATGAAAATCTAACAGTAGAAAATAGCAACATCCATGGGAAAATAACAATTATTGATATTAACAATTTATGAGGATTGCACAACATACATTACACACATTAACAAAAATTCAAGGTGCCCAGCACCCCATACTTAACTCATAGCCTCCTCATTTAATGCTGATGTGGCTAAAATAACTGACAAGGAGCAGGCTCTCAATCAAACTGAGACCCAGAGGTCTTTAAATCTACTCCAAATTTTATTATGTAGCACAATTAATTTTCTTTAAAATAATTCAAGCTGATCTGAGCTTTAGTTTCTATCATAAACTCTGACCCCCTTCCCCCAAGCCCAGAATTGGAAAATCATACATTTCCTTCCTCTCAGTTTCTGTTCTTCTAAGTTTCTTCCAACAAAGAAAAATGCTTTCATTTAAAACACAATGCTGGGGGCTGGAGAGATGGCTCAGACGTTAAGAGCACTGACTGCTCTTGCAGAGGACCCAGGTTCGATTCCCAGCACCCACGTGGCAGCTATGAACCATCCTTAACTCCAGGTCCAGAGGAACCGAAGCCCTCTTCTGATCTCCGTGGCATTGAACAACACAGGTGCACTCACATACATGCAGGCAACACACTCATACACATAAAATAAAAATAAATAAAACATTTTTTTTTTTAAACCCAACTGGTGATTCTGGTGCACACTCAAACTTAGGTTCAACCTAAGTGAAAAACTAAACAAATAAATAAAATAGAACATAATGCTGGAAAAAAAAGTCACAAATTCTGTTTTTCTAGAAGGAATAAATCATGAAATAAAAGACAGCATAGTCTTTTAAAAATTAAAGATGCTTTGTTCTATATACTTTAAAATTGTGTTTAAAAGTCCATTCCTGATATAAGACTGTTTTTTGTTTTGTTTTTGTTTTTTTGTTTTGTTTTTTGTTTTTTTGACACAGGATTGTGCAAACAGTAAAATTTCTGTGTTTTCCTGAATGGAATTTGTATGTATTTTGTTCTAACTTATTTGGCAGTGGGAGAAAGAACTGTGTATGATTATTTGTCTTAAAACCAATGCTTCTTCAAGTACAAGACACCTTAGTAGGAAAGTGTCAATGGTCTACCCAAATCACAGAGTTAGGGTCTACAGCGCAAAAGAAATAGAGAACCTGGGTAGGGAGAATCTCTTTAAATGACTGAAATGATGCCACTTGAGGTACAGTTCACTATAGTGATAGTCCCCTGGTATCTATCACCTATGTTTTTTAGTAGACAGCTGGAAAACGAACTTATTGGTGCTGTGATGGCATTCTAGTTCGGATTACCTCAGAGTATAAGCTACAGACTCAGGAAAAGAAGTGGGCAGTTCTGCCCATGGAAGTTCTTAACTAACCTATCCTTACTCATCTGTCTCTCACCCTCAGAAGGTAAAGGGGATGCTCCACAAAGACAGACTCTGTCAAGGACACCACAAGCAGCTTTCCCTGGCCAGATCTTTAAGAACTTAGGTGTCGAAATAAATGATACACTGAATCACATTCCAGAGAATAAAACAGAAATCCAGAAATCCAGATGTTTGAGAAAGGATCTCAGAGTGTACACTAAACTGCGTATGTACTTCAGGTTAGTCCTCAACTTGTGGCCCTCCTACCTCTGCTTTTGGAACTCTGGAATTACAGGTGTGTGTCACCATGCCCAGCTCAAAAATCCAAACTAGTTTGTGTGTGTAAATGTATATCTGTGGGGCAGAGGAGGGAGAAAGGGAGCGGAAAGGACTGAAGGATGAACTGACTGACTGATAACTGACTGACTGACTGTAGAAAGATGAAAACCTCTTTCTTACAACAGATTACCAACTACTAAGGGCAGAAAGAATGAAGACATTTAAAAATGAACATTACAGTCATAATGACAATAATGATTTTGACAAGGACTATCGATTGATACTAAAGCAAGTAGGTAAAATTTGGATAAGAGGTTTATACAATTCATGGCCACAAATTACAGCAGATACAGGACTGGCCATCATTAGCAAAATCCTAATCTAGAGTGAAAAAAACCAAGAGAACATTACTTCAATCAAGTGATTACAAAATGTAACATGATCAGTAACACTGGCTTTGTGTGCCAGCTGCCACAACACATGGAATGGGACACAGCATCACTTCTATGGCATTTCTACTAAAAAGCATGAGCCTATTCTAATCATGAGAAACCTGTCTCAATGTGAAGAGTCAAGGCCTAACTCGTCAAAAATGGTGATGTCAAGAAGAAAACTAAAGGAAAAAGAACTTTTCTGAATTTAAAGAGGTTAGAAAACTAAACTAAAACCAATATTATCATGGGTTAGATCTTAAAGAGTTATGTCACAAGAAACAAAATGGTAAAAATAACATTTTGATTAAATCATGAGTTAGTTACCATCATTTTATCAATGTTATGCATCCTATTTTTAATGATTCTACGCTTATAAGAGAAGATATACTTGTCCTTGAGAAACATATACTTAAATACTCATAGATTAAAAACAGTAATCATGAGTCTGCGAATAACTCCAGAAATATACTATAAAAATAAAAAAAAAAAAAAACAAGAAACACATGGAGTAAGGAGGGACTATATGGAAGTTTAGTACATTATTCTTAAAACGTTTCTAAATTTGAAATTACACAACATAAAAAGAAAGAGGAGATTCATATAATCTGTGTTTTACACTACAAATGGAAACACTGTCTATAAGAGCGCTGTTGGTACTCCATGCTCCTGGATGTTCCAAAGCCACTGTGGTGCTGTTCCTTTTCTTACCTTTCTAACAGATTGTGGATCGCTTTGAAGAGCAGCGTCCTACATTCATAGGAAAGGCCATTTTCCCAGAGTCCTTCTTCCACAACTGAAAAGAAAAAAGAAAAAAGAAAAAAAAAAAGAACCAGTAAAAAGGACATCCAAATAAAAAGAAACTTTTGAAACATTTTTCTAAAACAAAGTTAATGAGCTAATTCAAAGCATTTTGTCTCAACCTCATACTGAAACAGAGAAAAGAAGTTAAATACTTTCCCAAAGTTATAAAATGCATACAAAGAAAATACTATGATTTTTAGTGTTGGAAGTACAGGTCATGAGGTAATGCTCCCATGCAAGGCTCTCCTTCCTGCTTCCTAAAAACTCAAGTCATGTGAGATATTCCATAAATAACTTCCAAATGTCAAAGATTAATTTTGAGAAATTTCTACTTAAAAATAAAAGAAGTCATAAAGTAATACCAAGACTGTGATCTATTTTTTCAAGGGAAAATAAAGACGAGACAATTCCCAAAAATGCATGAATTACACGTATTTGTTTAAATGATAGTCATATCTAGATAAGATTTTAAAGGCATAATTTCAGGGAAACTGTTAGGAAATTAATTCTCACTATAATGTTAAATTTATGTCCTGAATTTCTAATTTTGTAAATGCTTGACATTTTAGAGGAAATTATATTTGTCTTTGAAGCAAGTTATACCATTGACTCGCAAGTAGCTCTAACATCGAAAGAATCTAAAAGACTAATAATGTTCATGCAGTTCTGAAGTTATTTTTCTTTTTATAACTATGTAATCAAGTATAAAATGCCTGCCAAAGAGCTATTTTCCTTGTAAGTTGTTTGAGTTAAATTCAAGAGAATTAAAAAAAAAAAAAAAAAAAAAGGAAATTTGAAGCTGTATGTGAGGGGGGAAGGTTCTCTGTCAAAAATAACAGAGAAAACTCTGGAAATTAAAGCACACATCATACCCAGGGTGCTTTTTTTTTTTTAAATACATTACCAATACACAGACCAAAATGCATTCTCGTATTCTCCAATGAGAACACTTCTGTAAAAGTATATCTATATTCACACCTTTTATCAGTTTTTAACTTATTATAGACCTGTACAAATATTTTTCCTTGATACATCAAATAACTTTTATTTTCCAGCCTACATGAGGAACACTAATTAATCAAAGTTTCCCAGGCCAACTTTTTCAGGCATGTTCTCTGTTCTATAGACCTAGAGAAAAGGAAACAAAGGATAGCTAACACACAAATACTACTGCTAGTAAATGCAGCCTCTGCTGAAATCCTGGGAAGAAAGTACCATAAGTCTTCTCTCATACATTCCTCTTCTGCCTGGGAAAGGGAACTAGCATCACAAACAAACACATTAATTTACTTTTTCTTAATATTTTTCACTGCCCCTAAGGCACTATCAATTTCAAGAGGAACTAGATTGTAAATATACATCGCTGGGAGAGGGAAGGTGGTAATTAAACTACAGCATTATCAGTGACATGATTTTTACAAGAGTTCTTTAAAATAACTGAGATTATTTTTTCATCAAACATCAGTACTGTGCACATATGAAACAAATATGAGCAAAGCAAACTAGCTGGAAATTCCTAAACTAGATCAATATGCTCACTCCAGCTCTTTATTTTATGTGTAAAAGTTTTTGAAGAAATGAGTGTTTGCCAGCATGTTTGAAAGTGCACCACATGTGTGCAAAGAGAATGTTGGATCCCCTGGATCTGGAATTACATACAGATGGTTGCTTGCTGTCATGTGGGTGCTGGGCCATCTCTCCAGCCCCTCCAATTCTTATATATTACTCTTGACCTCTGTGACCAGTGGTCAGGTTTCTTTCTGCACAACAGTCATTTGTGCTGTAGAAATAGAGTGCTGGCAAACCAGCACTGGTGAAGTGTATCTCTCATATTTGGAATTTTTGGTCCAAAGTGGTGAAATCAATTCAGCACTTTTTTGAAAACTTTATAATTCAAACCTTTCTATGTAATTAAATCATATTAACAAGTTCCAATATATTCCTAACCAAAATTACTAATGTCATCTGCTTAATTTTGCTTTCTTTGTTTCCCGTTTCATGCATCATAATAAGTCAACACTTGTTGAGAAATGCATTGCTAGGGGATTCTGCCATTGTGTAAACACTATAAACTGTGCTTACACAAACACAGAAAGACCAACTCAATCACTTGATGAGGTTCCTTCAACCAGAATACAATCATACAATCAAAACTAGGCTGCTGCCAGAGTTATGACTGCATAACTTTCACAATAAAATTTTTGCCATGGCTACTCTTGCAAAAGACCTGTTTTCAGTCCCCAGCTCCCCATGGAAGCTCACGACCATCTGTAACTCCAGTTCCTGGGGTCTGACACCCTCTTCTGGTATCCTCCAGCACTGTGGCATATTGTTTGTAAGCCAGTAAATATTTTAAAAAGCTATTCTTGAGTTCTATGAACTCAAATTAATTAGACCCAAGAAAAAGGTTGTGTGAACCCTTAGATTTATAGACTTGGGCTTCTAACTGGCATCTGAAGTGGAGAACAGTTCTGTGACCAGGCCCTCAGCCTGGGGGATATGAAGCTACCTCAAGGCAGACAGTGTCAGAACTGAAATGAAGTACAAGACACTCAGTGGGCATCCACTGCAGAACTGACCATATGGTGATAAAGGAAGGAGGGAAACCTCTACCTATTTGGTGAAGAAGAGCAGGAAAACCTGAGGGGCTCCTCAGGTCTATAGTTCATCTAGGGGTTCATCTAGGTCCATACTTAAGTACAGTAAGAATCACATTCACATCAAACACTGTAGCAAATATTTATAGTGGTTTTAGTCACAGTTACACAAAACTGAATGAAAAGCATCCAAATATCCCTCAAGCAGGGAAGGACTAACCAAGGAATATCAAACACAACGGAAGATGCCTAAAAACTAAAGCTCCGACAATAATACAAAATATGGATGAATCTCATTATGCTGGTGGAAAGAAGCAACACTGGAAAGACACCTGCTAGAAGACTCATTAACATAATCTCAACAAAGGCAAACCTAAGGTATCAATAAGAAACTCATGATGGCTTCCTGGGATGGGGCTTTGGCTTTTAAAGTAATGCAGAAAATGCAGGGGGGGCCCAGGGCCTGGAGGCACAAATCTTCAATCCCAGCCCTCAGAAGGCAGAGGCAGGTGGATCTCTGTGAGTTCGAGGCCAGCCAGAGCTACACAGTAGGTTCGAAGCTAGCCAAGGCTAAAGAGACCCTGTCTTGAAAGAAGAGGCAAGGGGGGGGGGGAGAATTCAGAGGGTGATGAAACTGTCCTTGTTTGTGGTAATGATTATATAACTGAATATATTAGGCCAAAACGTGGAACTCTACACTAATTATAGTAAATTGTATTCACAACCATTTTCTTCTGTAATTTATATAAGCTTATTTGAGACAAGTCTCTTGGATGTAGACCATCAAGAATACAAGTATGTGTTTAAAGAACTGAATACAGATAAACAGACCACTATATTGTTACAGTATAACAGTATATACACTGAATATGACTGCTTTAATCTACAGAATAGATGTCTGGTTAAGTCTCAATCATAAATTATTAAAAGCAACCAAAAAGATTTAGTAACCAGAGACTAAAGTAGCCTTTCCCAAATTCCAGTATACTATTAAATCATACATTTTACACTAAATTCTGTATGGAAAGCAAATACAATAGAACATAAACATTCTATGAAGAGTGTTTTAGTTTTTAAATGCTGAAAATATTTGGAAAAAACTACTCATTAATTTCTTATATTCTTCTTTCCTATACAAATATGTGTAAGCATATAAATATATGAATTAATGTATGTTAAAGTACCAAATTAATGGAAAACAAGGAAAAAACTAGTAATACAAAATAAAATGATGCAATCAACTCCTGCTTAAAGGAAGTATAGTCTAAAAACTAAAAACAGAGAGCTGAGAATGTAGCTCAGTAGCAAAGTACCTGCCTAGCATACATGAAGCCCTGAGTTTGGTCCCTGGTGCCACAAAAAAAGAAGAGGAAGAAGATAAAGAAGGGTAAGAGGGTAAAGTTAGTACAGATGGTTATAAAGTATATGCTGTTTGGATTATATATAAACTTTAAATTTCCTGGTCTTATATAGACTACACTAGAGACTCAAAAGTTGTCACTAGATTATCATAAGTAACTAAGACAAAAAGAAAAGCTAGTCAAATAAATGCTTTCAATTTCAGTTATGGGTTAATTTGCCTATCTGAAATCTAACCATAGCTATTTTGTGAGCATTTCCTGGGCCAATAGTTCTTTGCTATGATGTCTCAAGCACCTGCTCTGAATCTAGGACACATTTAAGAAGCCAGGTCATGACTGTGAGGCAAAAACTACCTTGAAAACTTCTCAGAATAACCACAAAGCATAAAAATCTTAGTTATAAAAATGCTTACAGTCGGGGCTGGAGAGATGGCTCAGTAATTAAGAGCACTGATTGCTCAGTTTGATTCCCAGCACCCACCTGACAGCTAATACCATCCATAACTACAGTTCCAGGGGACTCTGACACCCTCTTTTGATCTCCATGGGCAATGCACAACATGGGTGCACTTATACACATGCAGGCATCACACACATACACATAAAAATAAAAAGAATAAAATCTTTTTTAAATGCTTATAGTCAAAGTTGGTTTTCTACTCAGAAAACAATCTTAAATATTTTATTCTACATACCAAAATTTGAACCAAATCTTGAATCAAACTGAACACTGGCATTTGAAGAGATTACCTACAAGACAAATTATGGGTGCACTTACATACAGGCAGGCATACATGACAGCTAGCAAACCAGCATTAGAGTTTTCAACACTGAAACTGCATGCAAGTACTGTTTGGAATCAAGTATGATCATACCCTACACAAGCTAAGACACCAATTCTCTTTCCCATCCTCATCTATACTGTGGACAAGAATAAACGCCCTAAACCGCACTAGATGCTCCTGGCCAACATCTCTGACTCTGGATCCAGGGCTCAAAAGGAAATATATGAAGAAATGTTTCTGCCAAAACTA